ATTTCAGTATCGAGAACCGATATTTCTTTTTACGGTACTCGCCGATACCGAATACCGATAGTCCCATTAAGGAAGCCAGGCGGCGTGTAATGACTCGCCACCTGGCTTTCTGATTAGCCAGAATGCCGGGCGAGGTGTAAAGACTCGCCACCCGGCTTCCCAATTAGCAGGGAAGCCGGCCCCATGCTTCATGTCACTAGGTGACGAGAAAGCATGGAGCCGGCTTTCTGGCCAATCAGTAAGCCGGGCGCTGTGTAATGACGCGGCGCCTGGCTTCCTGATTGGCCGGGAAGCCGCCTCCATGTTCCTCCATCATGAGGTGATGAGGGAGCATGAAGCTGGCTTCCCAGCCAACCAGAAAGCCAGGGGTCGCGTCATTACACGGCGCCCGGCTTCCTGATTGGCCAGCCCCCGACCAATTAGGAAGCCGGGCAGCGAGTCATTACACGATGTCCGGCTTCCTGATTGGCCGGGAAGCCAGCTCCATGCTGCCTCGTCATCAGGTGAATAGAGAGATCATGAAGCCGGCTTTTCGGCCAATCAGAAAGCCGGGCGCCACATCATTACACGGCAGCCGGCTTCTGATTGGCCAGCTTCCCCGACCAATCAGGAAGCCAGGCACCGAGTCTTTACACGCTGTCCGGCTTCCTGATTGGCCATGCTCCCTCATCACAAATAAGCCGGCTCCATGCTCCTTCGTCACAAGTAACGAGGGAGCATGGAACCGGCTTCCCGGCCAATCAGGAAGCCTGGCATCGTGTAATGACTCCCTGCCCCGGTGTTCTATCGAAAGCTCCAACTCATCGAGATCTCCAACTACCTCACTGTAGGGTACTTGCAAGTTGGAGATTTCGCCCAGACGGCGTTAGACTGCAAAACACAAAGACTGACGGAGCTTCTGTACAGCCGCATTTTAACAATATTCAGCAGGTGGCAAACTCGACGAGTATTCTGAAAACGCTCTGCGCGCATGTGCACCGCCACTGTACAGAGCTCCGGTCTTTCTGAGCACCGGAAGTGAGTTAGTTGGAGATCTCGATGAGTTGGAGCTTTTCGATAGAACACCGGCTTCCTGATACCGGATGTATCGGGCTAGGCATCGGAGCATTTAGGCAAGTACAAGTACTCGCCCCAAATACTCGGCACCGATACCGATACTAGTGTCGGTATCGGTGCATCCCTAGTGAGCATGCATAGAGCTCATCAGCAGCTACCAACACATTCAGAGCTGTGGCCTGGGGTCCCTTCCTATGTGAGGGTAGTTGCTTTTGAGTAGCATGGCAAGAGAAACTGGGCAGGGCTGACACCACTCAGCCTACAACAGGAAATTAGGAGCTGGGCACATTTCTGGCAGAGCAGCAAGTCATGTTCTGTACCTGAAGGGTCATTAAAGGGACACACCATGGGGAAGTAGGCATGCATTGCAGAGATTCCCCTTCCTATTTGTATACGCTGCAAGGAGGAAGGAACAGACTGGTAGCCAGTAAGATTGTAAACATTTATTGTTCCAATTCATTTACAGTATTGTACATTTTTCATCCGATATGAAAATAATTTAGCAAACCAAAAACTAGAGATCAACCGATAGAATCATCTACCTTCTCCTTATGTACAATGCCGCGATAGGTCAATCTTTCCAGACTTTGTACAGTCCTACGAGAGGTGAGAGAGAGAACTTAAACGCGGGGTCAGGAGAGAGCTAACTACAGAGCGGGCCAGTAAGAGTTGATCATGAGGTGGACGGTGGAACCCGGAATAGGAGACATGCTGAATTCACCTGAAG